AGAGTTCCTTGCATACTTATTTATACAAATGCATTATTTTGCAGTGGCATCTTGGATTTTTTAAATATGACTACACGCCAACTAAACGTGGATTTGACTCTCACCTTGGTTACTGGCTGGGGGCTGGAGACTATTGGGATCACTCAGAGGCTGAGGGTGATAAATGGGGACTGGACCTGAGAAATAACACAGAGGTACCTGGGCATGTAAAATGATCAGTCATTGTATGTGTTTAAGCATTCTTTTGTCACTGATAGCGGCTTCACCACAAAAACAAAAAAAATTCCCTCTGGCACCCAGGGTACCGCTACGCTGAAGCAATTTGAAAACGCCAGAAGCAGAAACTCTTGAGTGCATCCTTTTGCTCTTTTGACCTTTTTCCACCCTTGAGGGTTAGGGTTAGTCACATGATTATCGCAACGTCATCGTTTTCGAAAAGCTCCGTTTTTAAATTGTTTTCTGTCCACACTAAAACGCAAAGCCGGCATTTTCAAATTCCTCCGGTTTGAAGAGCGTTTCCGAAAAGCTCCGTTTTCGGTAGGCAATTTCTGCGGATTTTAATGTGAACGGTAGGCCTATAACCGTAAAAATGCAGTTGCGTTTTCAAATTTCTCCGGTGTAGTGCGGACTGGGACTAAATTTCACAGCCTGTTTTAATCAGCACGCACCTTTTCGCCAACCACGCTGTAAATCTGAGCAGTTCAGATGATACCTCCAACAGATTTTCAGCATAAAATTAAGCTTAGCACCCCAGTAAAGTTGTCATCTTGCAATTAGGCCTTGTCCCTTTTACCTATTTCGGATCTTCCCTTACATCTTTTGCCAACTGTCACATTTTTCCGAAATATAAACAACTTTGGAGGAGATTACGCGAAAAGTATTTCGGAAGAAATCTCTCGCTCGCTTTCTTGACAAGCTTCATTCAACTCAAAACGTGAACAACACGCGACAAATTTCCCGCCATTTTTTAGACCAATGCTTTGTTTAGATCACACTGAAATGTCCGCATGAGCAGTCGATTGAACCATTCGAT